CCAGAAGAAGAAAGTATAGCCCTCACTTATTTCAGAAACAAAGTTGTTAAGAAATGCAGGCAGAAGAGGGAATTAAACAGAAAATGGAGCCTTTCCTTCCCACACAATGCTCAGTCAGAAACAAGAAACATCACACCCTGCCTGACCCACCCAAAGTAAAGAGTCAAAAAACCAGGCAGGGGTGGTGGTGTCCCCTGTAATCCCGGCACTGGTGAGGCAAAGGCAGGAGGACCATGAGTTTGAGGGCAGTCCAAACTACACAGTGAGCACCTGGCTAGTCTGAGCTATATAGCTAAATTCTATATCAAAAGAGAACAGCAAAAGGAAAGAACTCCAAACAGTGTTGTTCCCTACCCCATTAGGTCTCTGACTTGGACAGTGCTGATACCAAAAGAAATGTAACAGGGAATTATGGGGCATTCCCAGACAAGCCACTCTGGGAAAGAAAGCTCCGGAAAAGTGATTCCAAATAACTGAAAATCAGCCAAGATGAGGGCCTGGGGAGCTTCTCTGAGGAATCTTCACATTGCTATGTTTTTTCGTGATCTTTAAAATTAAATGACAAGGAAACATCTAAAGTAGATCCTAGCCACTGTGGTAAATGACATCTAACACGTTCCCTGTGTCTAAAGCAGACATGTGTCCACTTCCTGTGCCCTTTAAACTCTGAGAAGGTATATCCCAAAAAATTACAATAGTAATAATGTCACTGCTGTAGCATGGAAAGAAACTGTACCGTCAGTAGTAGCTCACTGGTATTGTATAGGACAGGGAATTCAATCTTAAAGACTCCATTTGGGGGGACGGTATAATTTATCATCTGGATGGTATCCATTTCCTGCTCTTGACTGTTCCACCTGCTCAAGAGGTCGGTATGTTCCCTATGGGTCACTTCCAGGACTAAATTATTTCTTGTTTCTTCTTGAGTTAGTGCATTGCCATCAGAGCGGCTGACCTTCACCTAATTTTTAAAAACAAAGCATTTTAAGACAGGCAATAGGAAGAGCAAAAGAGTTGAGCCCAGTTTAATGTAGTTTCTGTCCGTGCTTTTCCCAAGTGCGGAACCCACAATGCTACAATTATTGGTAGTACCCCAATCCATGTTCAGTAACCCTTCTCCAGGCAGCATCTGACACCATGGTCACTGCCTCTTTATTCACGTGGCTTCCTTGCCTTCCACAACTCTTGCTTCAAATCTCTCTTTTTGCACTCTATTGTAATTGCCCTGGTAGGAATGAAGATTTTCAAAATAGATGCTTGTATCCTGCACTTTAGCTATCAGATTACTAAAATATGGAACACCAGATATTGGGATTTTCCCCCAGAAATCTCATGCTAGTAGACAAGAAAGGCCTGGACCAGCCAGAGGGGAAACCTTTCTCCCAGAGTTCCAGCTTGTTACAAGAGAGACAATGATGGGCCATTGGTTGGTGGGACCATGCCTTGTCATGCCTTGCAACTGCTTGGACATGCCAATGCTGGGCTCTACTTAAGCCTTTACTTCATGACATGGAGGTATGGGGTCGCTGGATCTCTTTGTAACTCTTCCTACTCTGGCCACAATGAATAAATCTCCTTTTTGTTTTCACCACTAATTTGTCTGCTTTAATTGGCTTCTCAAGGACAAGTGACCAAAAATGACTTTTCTGGGTCCCTGGCTATGCCCACAAGTCTAGTAACACTGTGTCCCCTTTGGTTCCTTGTTCTTTTCCTTTCTTCAAAATTCCCAACACTTGGCTGGCTTAGCGTCATAATTCTTTATGATTATACCCCAAATTCAAAATTCCCATCCTGGCCACACCCTGGATCTCATACTCAATTGCTCCATTCAAGGAAATCCCTACCTGATACCCAGTCACTTCAAATACAGGACACTAACAGCAAGCAACCATTACACCTTCCCTGTTTTTACTAACCACCACCATCCTGACAGACTGGCAACCCAGCCCCCACCTCCCAAACTCTGTGTGTACCAAGTCCCATTTCTCTGCCTCCTAGTCTCACTCCTGACTGCAGCTGCCCTCTTCTCACAGACCTCAAACAGTCTCTCACAAGCACTGCTTTTGTAGCATCCCTCCCTCCTACCATCCTCCACACATGCTCGACCCCACCCCCACCTCACCTGTGTTCATAGGCTCCAAGTCTTCTCACTGCCTAAAGCATAAAGTTCAAGCCAGTCGTGAGGCCCTCCTGCGCTTGGGATCTTCTAGAGTCTCTAACTAAGTTTTGCTTCCTGTTTAGTCAAGCCAAGTCCTCAGCTGCAAGTACCCGGGTCCAGTCACTTTTCTGAATGCACACTGGTCTTGCCAACAGCTCTTTTTGTCTTATGTCATCTTTCTCCCTGTCTCCCACCCCAATGCTCAAACATTTGAAATACTACTACTAATCTTTCCATCATTCAAGCCTTCCTCTGCCATAATGCACCCCTTTAATAACCTCTATCCCAAGCCCAAAACAACCTTTCCCTCCCAGGGTCTCCATCAGCTTCATATGCCTGTCCAAGCACCATGCCTAGCACATTATCAAAATTCACCCAAGCTGGGGGATGGAGCATAAATATAAGCAATGAGCAAATGGCATGCATATGAAAATGACATCAAGAAATGCATCATTCTGTGTGCTTTAAAAAAGTTTATTTTTGATCCCTCTCGGCGACCAACCATGGTGGTCAGCCATTAACTCTGTCTCTCTTCTCTCTTACTCTCTGTCCTGCTTTGTTCTTTTTTCTCTCCCTCTTGCTTTCCTGTCTTATAATAAACTATCATTAATGTGTTTTTAAAAAGTTTATATTCTTAATTTACTCAAATACTGAGAATTAACTCAACATTCTTTCTGAAAAAAAAACATCCTTGATAATAATTTTTAACACTATACCTTTGATGAAATTAAAATTTAGTCTTTAACATCAAACTAAAAATTTTGAGTATCATTTCTTCATTAATAAAAGCTTCAATGTTGTATTCCATATCAAACAAACTGCTAGTTAATTTGGGGGGGAAATTTTGACTGTTCTTAAAAACCACTAAAAAAAAAGCATGTAAGACAAAAGCCATTCAGGAGCAATTCTCCATGTTCGTATGTCTAAAGAGGGAAAGTAATGAATCTCCTTTTTGACTAGCTTTAAAGACATTGAGCACATGATTTCCCATAATCTCATTTCATTGAGACTCAGAGTTATGGACTAGTAATAAATATACCAACTTACAGTGGCTGTGAAGTTGAGAGATGGCTTCAAGACGGTTACATAATCAAAAAACTCAATGATGTAATCGTATTGCTTGAAAAACACATTGGCGCTTGCGTTTCTTGAGATACCTGTATTGAGGATTGCACCATTTGGAATGCAAAAGTAGAATGTCATCAATGGCTTGTGTCTGCCTAAACTTTTTACTGAAAGGGCTGAAGATATCAGGACACATAAGCCTACTTCTGTTATTGACTATGGTCCCAAGAGAAGCACAGAATTCTAGCATGTGAGTCTCCCTCCATGGTCTGTACACCAAGAGGAGAAAAGCAGACATAGTGGTTTTGTTTGTTGGGTCAATTGACTCAATCTGTTAAAATAGTAATAGAAGACTCCAAACAATTAATTTTTACATTCTTCTTAAAAGAGCAAATTATCTAGGAACAAGGGACATTTCAGAGTAAGTTGTGAAGGAGAAAAGAAAGAGGAAGCCAGTCCGATGAAAATGTAGGCCCCCTGTGTGATTTTTTGTGCTGGAAGAACAGAGTTGAAATGGGGGAAAGATGCAGTAACTGCTATTATCATAGATAGCTGAAGTTCAGACTTTCACAGAAAGTTAAAGTTTTCAACACTAAATAACCTCCCTAGAAAAGCAGTGAATACCCTCTCCTGAGAATGCTAACACAGTACACAGCCAGCAGACAGCAAAGGATTTTACCGTGGTTAGGGCTACAAACCTGTGAGTGATTCCGTCACAGTAGCTACAATCTCAATGGGCCCAGGGATGACAGGGTCAATGTGTACATGATGTCCATCCGAGAAACCCATTACCTTCTTCATCTCTTTGTTAGAAAAAGAGAAGTTTGTGGATCCATTTATCTGTTTTGTTTAAAAATTCCGTTTTATTTTTCACTTTAGGAATTCAAATTCTAGAAACAAAACTCCAACAAAGTCATATTTGACTTATTTCTGTCCCACTTTGTTAGCCTGTCTGATGCTAGAAAGTTCTTGTGTTATCTTAGAGCTGTATTTTGGTAATTCCGTATAAAACTTTTTTAGAAGAAAAAGTTAAATTTTCCATACTGTGATCTGAGTCATAACTCTTTATGGCATTTGTAGCACATTATGTTGAGAATGGGTGTAAACTTTCAATAAGCACTACATTTTTCTGTGGTCCCAATAATTAATCTCTGTAGTTTATTCACAAAGCCCCACCTTGCCTCAGATTTGCTAGATGGCAGAGACTGGTCTGGAACGACTAATCCTCTTTCTTTCACCTCCCTCAAGGGCTGAAGTAACAGGCCTGTACCACCACAAGCCCCTGGGTTCTATAATTATTCTTTTAATCAAAATTAAAAATGTCCCTGTGGAAATTATAAAATATCTGCAAAAGTTACCTCAAAGGATTTTGTGATATTTTTCTTTGCTCCCCAAAAGGATAAAGAGAAAAATGTAAGTGTTACGATTCCCCTCACTGGCTTCCCATATGTATACCTGGAAAACAGTTTTTAAAAAAATGTATTATTACATTTTCAACTTGATGGTATCGGAAGAACACAACAAAAATATCACTTTCAATAAGCAGACACTAGCAGTGCAACAGAAAAGAATTACATTAAAAACACCTCTCAAAAAACAAAAAAAAACAAAAAAAAAAAAACAAAAACATGCTGGGGCGTTGGTGGCGCAGCACTTGGGAGGCAGAGATGCGCGACTCTCTGTGAGTTCGAGACAGCCTGGTCTATAAAGCTACACAGAGAAACCCTGTCTCGAAAATAAGAAACCCCCCCACCTCCCCAGCCCACACACACACACACACACACCTCCTACAATTAAAAGAAAAATGCACAAGTCAGTCATGTTAGCACCATTAATTCCAGCAGTCAGGAGGCGGAGACAAGACCGGCTTGAGCTGCTTCTCAACCATCTGTTTCAAGTAAACATAAAACAATAAGGAAAACACTAAGCACTTAACACTTGCTCTTAACAAATGGGGACTCTTCAGATTAGGTCTCCAGTGGAAGTCAGAACTAGAGAATCTAAAATCGGTTCAAACGCCGCCTGTCCTCAGGCTCCGCCCACTGAGAGACCATGGAGGAAGTACCAGCGCTGCAGGATGGAACAGTGAGCTCTAATAGACTATGGAAATCTTTCATCACTGGACCGGCCTGCATGTCTACAAATTCACAGCCTGTAAAAATTTTAAATGCTAATCGAAGTTATCATCATAGCTGATTGTCACACATCCCAGGATTTGCCAGGACGGGATTATCAAGTCTTAGACTATGGACTACCAAATGCACAGACAGCTACCAAAAACTTGACTTTTTTTTTTTTCAAGGAAACTTTAAATAATATCTTTTAACCGTCATTTCAAACTCATCTTCTTGTGTCAAATGTCATTCTCTGCCAATTCAGTATTTTATTCTTTTAATTATTCCCTCTTATAATAGGGATATTTCTTCATGTAGATGAAAGGCGATCTTTAGTAAACCATTTCACTGCCAGAAAATCTTTTTAAAATGTGTTTCCTGGGTTCCTCCCATCTCTGTTTCAGACACTGGGCCAACCATTAAAGCCAATTTTGCTTTGCATTTTGCAAACTGTAAACTAATGTTTCCTGTATCTGCTAATTAGACACAGAAATAATCTCTCCTCTGGGCCAACTCCAAAGCAAACACAGAAGTTTCCAAATTATGAGAAAGAAAAAAAAATCCACCTTCAAATATAGCATCCTTCTAAACAAAGGCAGTGATGTTTGTAGAGACCTGGCTGGAAACCAAGGCATCCAAATCACTCACCCGAGTCCCCATCACCTAACGAGGCCTGGGTCTCATTAAATATTAAGTACAGGCAAAATCAGAATGCCCTGATTTTTTTGTTTGTTTGTTTGTTTGTTTTTTGTTTTTTTGTTTTTTTGTTTTTTTTGGTTTTTTGAGACACAGTTTCTCTGTAGCTTTGAAGCCTGTCCTGGCTATGGACCAGGCTGGCCTCAAACTCACAGAGATCCACCTGCCTCTGCCTCCCGAGTGCTGGGATTAAAGGCATGCGCCACCAATGCCCGGTACAGGGTATTATATTTTAAAACTGTGGTATCATATGATAGCTCAGAGTTCTTTAAAATAATAGCTTAATATTAAAGACAATACTTTTTTAAATTTTGGTTTAAATCTAAAGCCAGAGCTACAGAGACAACCCAGTGAGTAAGTTGGGGTTTTTTTGGTTTTTGGTTTGTTTTGTTTTCAATGCTGAGCCGTGTCCCCAGCCCCTAAATACACAACATTTTAGAAACATGACAATGCATTCTATAAGCCCCTTAATCACTCCTCTGTGGGAAACATTTTAGGACTGGCAGCTTGAAGCAGAGTCACAGATGCAAAGACTTGCAGCACCCTGTCCTGTTCTAAATGAAGTTTTACAAGCATATGCTTACTACACATTAGGGTCTTTTTAAAAAGCAAAAGCTTGTGCTAGCATTCTTTTTTTTAATCATTTCTTTATTTGAATTAGAAACAAGATTGATTTACATGACAATCCCAGTTCCCTTCTCCCTCCCGTCCTCCCCTACCACCCCCCAACTAAAACCCTACCTGTCACATACCCTTTCTTCTATTCTTCCCCTGACTCAACCTTTCTGCTCCCTCATGACCTCTGCATCCCTCCTTTTCTTCCCTTCTCATTCTCCTAGCTCCCTCCCCCCTCTTCCCATGCTCTCAGTTTTTGTGCTAGCATTCTTAAGTGTGTGCAGAGCTTTCTGTCATGCTGTTTCACAACATTTTAGAGCCATTCCAAAAGAAAGATGCGACTTACTTTGCTATGACGTTACCACTTAAATTCTTAGCCTTCAAAGAACAATACAACGGTGTCTGCAAGGTAACTTCAAACTTTGGCAACACTGGAAGAGAAAGGCAATCTCTTGAGGACTCTATTTTACCAGAATCTTCAGCCGAACCAAACAAAATAAGAGTTGTTCTAACTAGTTGATGATTGGTAATTCTTGAACTTGGATTTATTCACACACATGTTAACATAAATTTTAAAACCCTTTATGAATTCAAAATTAGAAATACTTACTTAGGCCAACTTTATATAATAATGAAATGGTTTTGGTTTGATTGCTTTGAATGCATTTATTATTAAATTTATTGTTATAATTAAATTTATTATTATTATTATTATTATTATTATTTAGCATGTATGTCTGAGTGCCAGAGTGTATGTATGGGCACTACATGTGCTCAGGAGGAGCCTGTGGAGATGAGATGATGACACTGGATTCCCTGGAACTGGAGTTACAGGTCATCTTGAGCCATCATGTGAATTCTGGGAACCAAACCCAGTCCCTCTACAAGAGCCAGAAGCATTCTTAACCACTGACCCAATTCTATGGCTCCCATAGATGTTTTACAAGTAACTCTACTTTAAAGAAAGTACTCTACCACAGCAAAAATGGTTGTAATTTTGATTTGGGCCTACAGAAATGTTTTTATAATGTCACTGATCAAAAAAACAGATAAGACTCCTATATGAGACCTCGCCCTTAGTAGAGGCCTTACCCTCCCTGAGGAGCAGATGGGAGGAGGGGGGGAGTGGGTAAAGCAGGAGGAGAGGAGGGAGGGGGAACTGGGATTGGAATGTAAAAAATAAATTAATAAAAAAAAGTACTCAAAAAACTTTAAAAATTAAAAAAAAATCACCAAAAAGAGACCTTACCACACAATTAACATTATATAAATATCAAAAGGGCTAGTAAGTCAGTATTATATGGCAAATCCAGGGGCCAAAAGCATTGGCTATGGCAAGACACTGCTAGACTCTAAACCAATCTAAAAGGGAGGCTCAAAAAAGTGACATAGAACAACTATGCCTCTCCCACATACTCCTCTCCAAAGAAACTCAAAAGCTCTCTCTCCAAATATCATAGATTGCCCACCAATCACCCCACAACTGTACCTCATCAAGGTCATGTAACCACTTAGCAGAGTGAAATATGAAATTCTTGATCCTGCCAGCTATGGTGACCCACTTCTTTAATCCCAGCACTTAGGAAGCAGAGATAGGCAGATCTCTGTGAGTTTGAGGCCTGACTGGTCTACTTAGCAAGTTCCAAGGAGTAGAGACTACACCGTGAGATTCTTTCTCAAAATAAAAATAAAGAAAAGAAAGAAGTTTGCTGCCCTATGATTTCTTCTTGAGAAGTGGTTCTCAACCTTCCTAATGCCATGACCCTCTAATACAGTTCCTCATGTTGTGGTCACCCCCAACAATAAATCATTTTGTTGCTACTTCATAAATGCAATTTTGCTACTGTTACTCAACTGAGGCTTCTTCCTCTCTGATGACTCTAGCTTGTGTCAGGTTGACACACAAAAGCAGCCAGTACAGTAATATTCTCCTTACTTAGTCTAAAAATCTTTTTTTAAATATTTAGCCAAAACTTAAAACTTATTATTAATCAATTTTCTTTTTCTTACATGAAGTCTTGGAAATCAATCTATTGGGACCAGATACATATCAAGGACTGTACACCTGTATATGGTGAGGGCCTCTGGGTGACACACATAGTTCCAAATCAGGGGTCAGAACAGTATGGCCAGCACAAGCTAAGAGTAGCTTTTACTAAATTTATTTGGTTGGAAAATTCAAAAGAGAAATACGTAGTGATGCATAAGTTCATTACATGACAACAGCATTCACTTAAGAATTGACTGTGTCTGCTACATTCTACAGAGACAAAGATAAGCAATTATAACAAATATCTATGGCCTACAGAGACCAAGAAAATAATCTCAGTCCCATTACAGGAAAATGCTTTGCTAGTCCCTATTCCAGGCCATGACATACATATGTGAAATACCGTGGGAAATACAGGATCTGAAGGCACAACGATGTAACAAAACATGCTTCAGAATTCTTTTGCCTAAATTATGAGTGTTCATTAAGTGCTATGTAAATCAAATTAAAAGGCTCACCTATAAATTCAAAGCCACTACTTAATTTATCAGCTATTAGGGAGGTCTTGGGATTTTTCTCATCTCTGCCTCCTCTCTATCCACCGAGAAAAACAGTTGGATCCACTACTTTCATCTGGGCACTTACAATGCAATGTGAGCCTGCAAGAAGATGACCTTCCTGAGTTACATGTCCTGTCTCCACTGTGTTGACCAAATCAAGATATAGAAAATAACCAATATCAAACTGGTAATTTCGGGTTTTTTTTTGTGGTGCTGGGAACTGAACCCAAGGCATTGTCCATGCTTTCAATTGAACCATGTCCTCAACTCTAATGGTGAATTTTCAAAAGAGTCAAAAATCTTTAATATTTTATAGGTACAGCAGTATGGGGGAAGCCAGGTACTCAGGAGACAGAGATGAGAAGACAACCACAAATCTGAGGCTACTCTGGTCTTCCAAACAAGATCCAGACCCTTACAAAAGAAAAAAAAAGGAGACCTTTACCTAAAAAATAAAGTCTGGAGAGATGGTTCAGCAGTTAAGGGCACCCAGGTTTTATTCCCAGCACCCACATGAATAAATAAATCTCAAAAACAAAAACAAAAACAAAAACACTGGGCATTGGTGGCGCTCATCTTTAATCCCAGCACTCGGGAGGCAAAGGCAGGCAGATATCTGTGAGTTCGAGGCCAGCCTGGTCTCCAGATCGAGTGCCAGGATAGGCTCCAAAGATACACAGAGAAACCATGTCTCAAAAAAAAAAAAAAAAACAGAAAAAAATATTGTCATAAGAAAAAACTGACATTATGGAATGTTAGATATTTTACCTACTTTTTTCTTTATAATGAAATTTAAGAACATTTACAAAGAAATATGTTTGATCCTATAAGGAACACTAAAGTTTTACCTTTATTGGGATTTCTATTTTAAGTAGCATGTCTTTTTGAAAATGTCTCCTCTCTATAGAAAGTAATAAGTGGGTGCTTTTTCCTTCAAAATAAATTGAGGAACTCTTACCATATTCTGAGACCTCAAATGATTGATAATATTGCTGATCCTATTGGGAAGAAGAGACAAAAACCAAGTAGGCATTAGTTTATTTTGTCCTTTTATCTGTATAAAATATTTAGAAAAGTATTTTCAAATTACATTTATAATGGTTTAAGAATCAAAACAATTCATCTTATCAATCTGTAGAAATTTATTTTTAGACAACTGAAGTACCAAGCTTGTGAGACAGAGTTTTTCTTCCCAATTTGTTCACATTAAAAGGTAACCTCTTGGGGATGGAGAGATGGCTCAGAGGTTAAGAGGACTGGTTGCTCTTCCAGAGGTCCTGAGTTCGATTTCCAGCACTACATGGTGGCTCACAACCACCTATAATGGGAGCTGGTATCCTCTTCTGGCATGCAGGCATACATGCAGGCATACATGCAGGCAGAGCACTTATATATAAATAAATAATCTGTTTTAAAATAAAAAAGGAAACCTCTCTAATTACAAGTAATTTAAACAAATTGTTTAATCTGATTTACATCATTTGCAAAACAAAAATTAGGTTAAAGAGTTCATAAATTTATGAAGCCATGATAATGCATATCAAAGTAACAGAAAATGGCTTCAAGTTTGTTTTGGATATTTTATAAAAACATGGAAAAAAGAAATTATTCATAATTAAAATGTTTACAAATCATCAAGAAGACAAAGTTATCATGAACCAACATTGTTCTACCTTCTAACTCCTTGAATTATTTCCTACTGTAACATTTAAATCAATACATCCTACCCTACTTTAATATCATTAATTAATCTCTTTTCCAACATTCACAAGAAAACAGGTCTCCTATTATATCATTTTCTAACTTACAATACTAACTGTGAAGTCTAAATAACAAAAACCATGGTCAAATAGCTAAGTGATTTCACTGTGAACCTGCACTCTAAGCTGAATCGTCTCTGTTTATCATAGCAAACAGAACTGTAATGATAAAACAGTAGCTTTCCTGGAAATCAAAACTAATCTAAAGCATCTATTTTAAGAATTTTTTGAGGCATGGTCCCTCTCTCTCTCTCCTCTCTCTCTCTCTCTCTCTCTCTCTCTCTCTCTCTCTCTCTCTCTCTCTCTCTCTTTGTCTTTCTCTGCAGCCCAGGACAGCCTGGAACAGGCTATGGAATTAAAATTAATGGCAAACCTCCTGCCTCGGCCTCCCATACACTCAGGAGGCAGAGGCAGGCAGATCTCTGAGTTCGAGACCAGCCTGGTCTACAGAGCAAGTTCCAGGACAGGCTCCAAAACAATACAATGAAACCCTGTCTCAAAAAACCAAAATAAAATAAAATAAAGGTTATACTAAACAGGGCATGGAGAGGTGGCTCAGTGTTTAAGAGCATTTGCTGTTCTTCCAAAGGACTCAAGTTTGGTTTCCAGTACCTAGAATCAGGAGGCTCACAATCTCCTGTAATTCCAACTCCACCTGATGCTCTCTTCTGGCCTGTGTGGGCACCTGCACACACACACATGCACAACACACACACACACACACACACACACACACACACATATATATATATATAGATAGATATATATATATATATATCCTAAATAAATGTGTTATTTTGATAAGCCTTAAGAATCTCCATATTGATGATTCCCACTTCAATTGTTTGCATGTCAAATTTAGGAATATTATAAGCGGCATGTTTCTGATTCACTATACTTTGTCATCTTCAAAAACTGCATCAAGAAGGTTAATTGTTGCCTGACTTTTTCAGGAAGATGTAAAATTAACTGTCCCCAAATTGAGACAACAAAAACTGCGCCATACAATGCCATGATGAGTAAAATGAGTTTATTATGGCTTAGTTACTTAAGTGGTAGATAACTAAAATTAATTGCATTTTTCAGAAATTGCCTCTGCTACCACCACCAGGTTCCTATACTATCTGACTCTAAGATCACAGTAGAATTGATATAAATCTACATTCAGAGTCCTACCTAGTGTAAAAAAGAAGTGACCACAAGCTCAGACAGCTACCCAGCTTTAAAAAGTATAAATGAGCCAGACATGGTGGTGCACACCTTTAGTCCCAGTGCTCAGGAGGAAGAAACAGGCAGATCTCTGAGTTCGAGGCCAGTCTAACCTACAGGGAGGGCTACACTGAGAAACTCTGCCCTGAAACAACAATGATGACAAAAAGTATAAATGACTACAAGAGCAAACACTGTGAGGTACAGACAAAGCCAGACTCTAGGAATGTTCTATGTTTACTTGCACTGTGTCTCATCGGGGATTATGATGGTCTTGGCAAACATGTCCAACCATGGGAAGAGTCACTTGTTTTATTGCAGTCTGACACACACAGAACAGCTGACTGGTGACTTCCTACAAAGAGGAGGGGTCACTCTGAATAGTATTCAACTAGTCTATTTTCAGTAATTTATCTATGTTGCCTGATTTGCTGATAAACAATTCTAATCTTCGAAATAGTTTGCTTTACTACTGAGGCCAACACGAATAACCTCAGAGGGAGAGGAGATGGCTCAGCGGACCTGGATTCAATTCCCAGCACCCAAGTGGTAGGTCACGGCCATCTGTAACACCAATTCCAGGGGATCCAGTGTCCTCTACTGACTTCCAAGGGCACCAGACATGCACATGGTACAAATGCCTACATGCTGGCAGGGTGTTTTATACATAAATAAATAAATCTTTAAAGGTTTAAATTTTTAAAAATTAATAAGCATCAGGGAATGAGATGTTCTCTTTTCAGTAAGCCATACAGCAATGACTTAATAGCACATGAAAAACAGCATATGAAGTTCTGTAAAGACACATCAGTCCGGAGAATTTTTTTAACTGCTGCTTCTACACTAATAACTCCTACATCATTATCTCTACTAACCCAAATCTCAGTGAGAGATTCAGGTTCAAACCCACTTGCGTCATGTCCTCTCAAATATCCTAGATGTGTTTATCTGGATGGAGCATCTTCCCAGTAGCCTCCCCAAGCCATTCAGTGTGCCCCTTCTCTCCCTCATTATCCTGCACCCTGTTTAACACATCCTGCATAAATCATTTCCTTCGCTACAACCTCCTTAAGGAACTGTGAAATCCCTGGGACACAGCAGCTAGCTCAGGGTGCTCTCGCTGTCTGTTCAATGAATGCATGCATAAATGAGTAACCTAGTTGACTCTTGTCCCCAGGCCAGTGGCTACAGAACTCGAGGAGCCTCAACTTTCAAACAGAAGCTCTTTTGAGACCTTAAAATAACTTTCTCCTATAAAGAGTCTCCTTGAAGAGGCAAACAACGGAAAAGGAACCATGACTGTGTTCTCAGTTTCCAGGGAAATAATGCCACAAAGGCGAAGCCATCATCAAAGGAAGCTGAAGAAAAAGAAGCCAAGTCCTTCCTTTCCTTATTCCTTTAATTGGGAGGGTAAACTAAGAAATCATCTCATAACTGAGTGACGTCAGCACGCTTTATGTCACACAGCATTCTCCCAGGGTGTTTACAAGTGGCAAAATGCAAATCAAGAAATGAATTATTCTACCGACCAAAGGATCTGGGAACAAATGGATTTTGCAACATGTTGCGTGTTGGGTAGTCAAGAAGCTACATCAATTTTTTTCAATGAGTTTAGTTATTTTTGTAAAACATTTTACAAAATATATATTCAAACGTGGTAGAAGAGAGCCAAGCACTGTGACACACAACTGAAGTCTCACCACTGGAGAGGCTGGGATAGGAGAAGCACAAGTCTTAAGTAGACCAGCCTGGGATATAAAAGAATTCCAGGCCAGTCTGGGTTAAACAGTGAGGTCCTATAACAAAGGGAAAATGGTAGAAAATACTGAAATATTTAAAGTTAATAACAACTTTGAAGCCGGGCGTTGGTGGCTCACGCCTTTAATCCCAGCACTCCGGAGGCAGAGGCAGGTGGATCTCTATGAGTGCGAGGCCAGCCTGGTCTCCAGAGCAAGTGCCAGGATAGGCTCCAAAGCTACACAGAGAACCCCTGTCTCAAAAAAAAAAAAAAAAAAAAAAAAAAAAAACCTTTGACAATCAGTAACCATTTGTGCCATTTATAAAAAACAAAACAAAAAATATGTATACTAAGTACTTCTGATGTTCAAGCACAGGGATCCACAATTTTTTTTTTTCCGGTAAGGGGCCAGGCAGACTAGACACTAAACACTTTAAGCTGTGGAGGCCAGATGGTCTCTGTCTCAACTCTACAACAGTGTCAACACAGTGAAAAAACAGCTGATACATCCTGAAGTGAATGGTAACCCTCCAGCATTGTTCTTTTTTGCTCAGAATTGCTTTGACCATCTGGGGTCTTTTATGGTTCCGTGAATTCTAGCATGTCTTTGTTTTCTATTTCTGTGGAGAATGTTATGAGACTTTGGGGATTGCATTGAATCTATAAATTGTGGGAAACAGGAAGCCCTTATTCACTATTAACAAGATTGCAAATTGGTGCAGCTACTCTGGAAATTGGTGTGGAGAACTCTCAAAAAGTTAAAAATAAATCTACCATATGACCCAGTTATGTATCACTTCTTGTGATGCATTCAAAGGACTCAACACCCTACTCAACAGATAATTGCTCAGCCATTGCTAGAAAATGGAAACAATCTAAATGTTTTCCAACTGATGAATGGATAATGATGAAATACTGTATACATTATGGAATACTATTCATCTTTAAGGAAAAGGAAATTCATAGGTAAATAATAAATCTAGGAAAAATTGATATTGGCAGGATGTGGTAGCTCATGACTTTAATCCCAATACTTGAGAAGCAGAGGCAGACAGATCTCTTAGTTCAAGGCCAACCTGGTCTACAAACTCAGTTCCAGGGCAGCCTGGGTTACACAGAGAAACCCTGTCTTAGAAAGAAAGAAAGAAAGAAAGAAAGAAAGAAAAAAAGAAAGAAAGAAAGAGAGAGAGAGAGAAAGAGAGAGAGAGGGAGGGAGGGAGGGAGAGAGAAAGGAGGAAGGAAGGAAGGAAGGAAGGAAGGAAGGAAGGAAGGAAGGAAGGAAGGAAGAGAG